CGGTTGCTCACACCTGTAATCACAGCAATTTGGGAGGCCAAGGTGGATGGATCATGAGGTCAGGAGATCCAGACCATCCTGGCTAACACAGTGAAACCCTGTCTCTACTAAAAATACAAAAAATTAGCCAGGCGTGGTGGTAGATGCCTGTAGTCCCAGCTACTCAGGAGGCCTGGCCCATCCTGACTGCCCTTTCAAAACCAGCTTCACAGCACAAGTACATGCTTATTTTATTTTTTATGTTTTAGTTTATTTTCATTGAGGTGCAATATACATATCTAATTTACTATCTACAGTTTATAAGTGCATGGTTATTTTAAGACTCCATAAAACACAAAAGGACATACAATTTTAAAAAAAACTATACATTCCTTTTTTCATCTTCTACCCTGAAGGAACTCTCCAAAATTACTTTTCCTCTGCAACATCCGATAGTGTCCACAAGGAGCTCGCACCATGTCTTCCTACAGGTCCATTGGACTGTTCCTCAGTACACTGAATAGATTGGAGGAAGCTCACAGGTTTGTATCTTATTTCCCTATGGGCTTCCACACAATGCAGTCCTCAAGTTTCCCGTCCTGTGCTAAATAGTAAAAATCAGCACAGAATCAATGCGGAACACTGAGGAAATCACAAACGTAAGTGGCATATATTTTGTCACAAATCTATGACCCCAGGGCCCATCCTTTGGATGGTGGATAAGAATCCTTACAAAGCCCAAGGCCGGGCGCGGTGGCTCAAGCCTGTAATCCCAGCACTTTGGGAGGCCGAGACGGGCGGATCACGAGGTCAGGAGATCGAGACCATCCTGGCTAACATGGTGAAACCCCGTCTCTACTAAAAAATACAAAAAACTAGCTGGGCGAAGTGGCGGGCGCCTGTAGTCCCAGCTACTCGGGAGGCTGAGCCAGGAGAATGGCTAAACCCGGGAGGCGGAGCTTGCAGTGAGCTGAGATCTGGCCACTGCACTCCAGCCTGGGTTACAGAGTGAGACTCCGTCTCAAAAAAAAAAAAAAAAAAAAAAAAAAAAGAATCCTTACAAAGCCCCAACCGGACATGTGGCGCTCATCTTAGATGTTTATTTCCTTTGGACCCCCAATAGCGTCTCAATCTCATTCATTTGTTTTACCAATTACTTTTTCATTTTGTATCTAAAATTGCTCCTTTTACTTTTTTCACTTACGAATCTGTAAAAAGACACCATCATCTCATCCTGAATTATTTCCTCTGAAACATAAGTAGTCTGCCTGTCTCTGGTGTTGCCTCAGTTTACCTTGCAGTCCCTCCTCCATTCTGCACCTGAAGAGCTCATAAATACCAGCTAAGGATAATTCAGTGACTCCAAGTGGCCTCTGTGATCATGTGCACACTTCTCAGCATCTGTTCTCTTCGTGATCTGTTTCCGTGACACCTTTCTCTCATCTGGACACATCTAGAATCACTTCCCCTGATCCTGTCCCCACTGACATCTGTCATACCCAAGCCAAACACAAGTCATATTAATTAGTTAAATGAGCAGCTGTTTTGTACCTGTTCTTGGCAAATGCTATTACCAACACCTGGCATATTCTATCATCATTCCTCCTTATAGCTCACCTCCATTAATACTAAAGATATCATATTAGATCTCTTATTAGGCCTCTAAGGTCAGACATCTGTGACCTAAAGCTTTCCCTTCACAAACCCTGTCTAGGGAGAAAACTCCATAGGTGTCCCCATGACAGACTTTAATTCTCCTCACACACCTGATTATGGTGAGTGGCAGAAACAGGAGGGGATGGAGCTCTAGAGGCAGCATTGAGAAAGTTGGCCTTTGGAAAACCATAGAAGGAAGTTGTGTTGTGGCATTGCTATTCCTGTGCTAGAAATGACAGCAAGGGGTCAATGCACACTGTAATGGTGCACAGTCCCCTTAATTGATCACTACGTGGAATTGAAAGATTGTTAGCAAAAAAGATGAATAAGCGAACCATCTTTTAGCTACTCCAGGCATCCTTCTTTTTATCAGTTTCTCTATGAAATGAAATCAGAGGCTAAGTAAACATATCTAGACTCTGTTCTTTATGATATTTACTATTAACAATCTGTGTAACATTTATCATTAAACAAATTCTAAAATACTTTAGAATTGGGCTGCATGTCAGTATTAGTTGAATGAGTAATTCTAAACAGTCTTCCATGAATTTGTGGAGCATTGTTAGTACTCCCAACTTTAAAAAGGTCCTTTAGTTAAGAGCCCCTTCGAACGTCCAATAGTGTCCACAAGGAGCCCACACCATGTCTTCTGAGAGGTCCACTGGACGATTCCTCAGTGCAGTGAATAGGCTGGAGGAGCTCACAGGTTTGTATCTTATTTCCCCATGAGCACCCACACAATGCAGTCCTCAAGGTTCCCATCCTGTGATAAACAGTAAAAATCAGCACAGTCGCCAGGCTTCAGCCCAGAAGTGGTGAGGGAGGCCATGTTGTTTGACTTGTACCTGGGCAAGAGGAGAGGCTTGGTAGTAAAGGTATGAGAAGATAACTCATACAGATACAGAGGGAGAGATTTGGTATTTTTGGAGAGAAAATTGGGGAAGTCATGAGTGGACGAGTCCACCTCCAGCATTCAGGCAGGAAATTGGAGAGAGGTGATGGGGACAGGCTGAGAGCTGAGCCGGGGTGCGGTCACTCTGGGGAGTTTCTGTATCACTTCCCCATGGGTCTGGAGAACTGTGTGATTACCGCCGCTATCACAAGAATGACAGGAGTAGTTGACCTCATCCTCAGACTGCAGCCCAGAGATGGTCAGGGAGGCAGAGTTGGATGGAGCTGCTGGAGCCAGAGAACCAGTGCGTAACATGGAAGTGTCTTTTGTTATCATTGTAGATTATGGTGGTGGGGGCACTGCCCAGGCGCTGATGGCACCAATGCACCAAGGCACATATTTGCTTTGGACGCTACCACTGCTCCAGGTGCCAAAGATAGTGTTCTTTTGTCCCAGAGACCCTGACACAGAGTGGGAATGAGTGAACACATCCTCCTACTAAGACTCTGCAAGAAGGGAACAATACAGAGAACAGTGAGGACAGATCAGGTCTGCTGAGAAGAGGGAGAGGTCATCATCTCAGGGGACATCCAGGAGCCTCCCTTGAATTCTCTGCAGGCAGCCACCTGTGCAATGAGTGAGGAAAGTGAGGATGCATGGAGCCCAGGCCACAGTGGAGATGCCCCAGGCTCTGCTGCCCGAGCCCATAGCCAGGGCTGAACTCACCATCACCTCTGATCCATCACACTGATCCCCAGGGTGGGAGGACTCCATGCAAATCTTCCCCATTTCTGGAGGCTGTGCAACCCCCTCCTTTGACCTCAGTCTGAACTACAGCTGAGAAAAAGAAAAACTATAGAAGAAGAAAGACTTTCACCCCAGAGAGGGCACAGAAACACCTTCATGACGCAAGAAAATGGGGACTCTCAGCTAAGGAGCCCTAAGCAGGTGCTTAGTCCACAGCACCCTCTGGTAAATGTGGGAGTCATGTGGACTCCAGGCAGGTACTGGTTCCCAAGGATCCTGCCCTCCCCACCACTACCATCATCAAAACTTCCATCTTTTCAGATGGGCTTCTGTCATTTAGCAATATGCATGTAACCTTTCCGCATATTATTTTGTGCCCCGGTACCTCCTTCTTACTGTAGAATAATACTTCATTTTATGGGTTACCAAGGCTTGTGGATCCATTTGCTTATTGAAGGACACGTTGGTTGTTTTCAAGCTTTGACAATCATGATTAGAGTAGCTATAAGCATTTGGGTACAGGGTCTTGTGTGGTACATGTAACTCATTTAGTTAAATAGCTAGAAATACTTCAGTTCAGCTAGGCTTCTAAATTATAGGCTAAGAGTGTGTTCAGCTGTTTTAGAACCTGCCAACGTGAGATCACCAATATTCTCCTGTGTCGGAGAGATATGTCCTCACTCTGGAACATGCTAAGACAAGGAGGGAGGTGATAGACAGTTTTGTTAGAATAGTCTCTTTACAGCCGGGCGCAGTGGCTCATGCCTGTGATCCCAGAACTTTGGGAGGCCGAGGCGGGCGGATCACGAGGTCAGGAGATCAAGACCGAACACTGTGAAACCCCGTCGCTACAGAAAAAAAAAAAAAATAGCCAGGCATGGTGGCACATGCCTGTAGTCCCAGCTACCAGGGAGGCTGAGGCAGGAGAATCGCTTCAACTGGGGAGAGGGAGGTTGCAGTGAGCCCAGGTCATGCCACTGCGCTGCAGCCTGGGCGACAGAGTGAGACTCCTTCTCAAAAAAAAAAAAAAAAAGGTTATCTGAGCTGGGCACATTGGTTCACGCCTGTAATCCCAGCACTGCAGGAGGCCGAGGTGGGCAGATCACCTGAGGTCAGGTGTTCGAGACCAGCCTGACCAACATGGAGAAACCCCATGTCTACTAAAAATACAAAATTAGCCAGACGTGGTGGCACATGCCTGTAATCCCAGCTACTCGGAATGCTGAGGCAGGAGAATCACTGGAACCCAGGAGGTGGAGGTTGCGGTGAACCAAGATCATGCCACTGCATTCCAGCCTGGGTGACAGCGAGACTCCATCTCAAAAAAAAAAAATAAAAGGATTATCTGTGCGTTTACTCAGGTCTTCTTTAAGACCTGCATCTAAGCAATATTTTATGACTTCTAGTGTGTAAAACAACAATTTTTGTCATACTTATCCTAAAGTAGTTCATGTTTTATGCTATTTTCAATGTATTGACTTTTCAATTACTGATGGTTCATTACTGATATGGAGAATACAATTCCCTTCTGCATCCCTGTATTGTATCCCAAGGCTCATATTAAAACTCTCAGCCCAGCAGCATCTCTGAGTCACTTCTAGACTCTGAGCTGAGATGAACCCCAACTCACCCCTCTTGCCTTCTTCTATGTCAACACTGAGAGATTTTACCCCTGAGCAAGGGATGTCTGCCTGTGAAATGTGAGCAAGGTAGGACTTCGTTAGACCTACTTGTCAGTGGGAGCTCCAGTGCTGTTGGTGTGACAACAGATGCTACCCCCTGAGTTAGATTTGGTCAGAGTCACCAGCAGGGGTGACTTCACCAGGCCAGGAGAGTAGAGGGGAGGTTTTTGTCTGACTTCCTCATGGGTCTGGAGCACTGTGTGAGTCTTAGAGTTGCCATGCCATGTACAACAGTAATAGTCAGCCTCATCCTCAGGCTGGAGCCCAGAGATATGCAGAATCCCTGCATTGGCTGATGCATCATTGGATCCAGAGAAGCGGCTGGGAACTCCAGAGCCTTGGTGCTTATCTGAGTCTGAGTGGTAGTACAGGAGATACCGGGGAGGGCTCCCTGGCTTTTGTTGGTACCACCGTATCCAGAAGTCACCAACACTGAAGCCACTGCTCAGCGTGCAGGTGAGTCTGGCTGGCGCTCCAGGAGATGCGGAATGGGAAGATGGCTGAGTCAGCACAGGCTGGGAGAGGGAACCTGAAAACACAGACATCACGGGTAATAAGGCAGTTCCTAGGGTAAAGTTTCTCATAGGTCTGAACCACAGGGGGTGGTGTAGGCTGGACACTGAGCCTCAGTTTATAAGGACTTTCCCTACCTGTGCAGTGAGAGAGGAGCATGAGAAGGAGAAGAGTCCAGGCCATGGTGGACAGAGCCCCTGAGCCCTACCAGTGGGCCTGGGCTGCCCCAGGTCTCCTTTTCTTCTCCACCCTCTGCCAGAGGAGGGGCTGCTCATGCAAATGTGTTTCCTTCCAAGGCCTGCCCAGGCCCTCCCTGAGCCCTGGGGCTGGAGCTCAGCTCACACTGCAGCCTGAGGAGGAGGAAGGTTTGGTTCCCCCTTGGGAGGGCCCTGGGAGGAAGCACCTGCCAAGACTGTACACAGGTCTCTGCTTAGGGGACTCTGCCAGGCCAGAGAGGACACAACTCCTGAGTCCCCATCATTGAGCACAGGGCACAGGTTCCTTGGAGTGAGTGGTTCTTCCTAAGCAGCTGTGTAGGGACCATAGGGCAGTCCTGTGGCATCCCCTGCCGGTTGCAAGGCACACACCTCCCGATATAGTGTGGATGTGCGTCCTCTAAATCTCCTGTTGAAACGTAATCCCCAGTGTTGGATGAGGCAGCTGGTGGGAGGTAGTTGAGTCATCGGAGAGGATTCCGCGAGGCTTGGTGCTGTCCTCATGACAGTGAGTGAGTTCTCGCAAGATCTGATTGTCTAGATGTGTGGAACCTCCCCGCTTACTCTGTTTCTTGCTCCCACTCTGCCATGAGAGATGTCTTCTCCCACTTCATGTTCCACCAAGTAAAATTCCCTTGAGGTATCCTCAGAAGCCAAGCAAATGCAGGCACCATGACTCTCGTACAGCCTGCAGAACCATAAGCCAATTCAACCTCTTTTATTTGTAAATTTCCCAACCTCGAGTATTTCTTTGTAGCAAGCAAGAATGTCCAAACACAGATCACTGGTGCTGAGAAATAAAGTATTTTGCTAAAAGATACCTGATAGTACAAAAGCAGCTGTGGAACTCAGTCATGGGCAGAGGTTGGAAGGGTTTGGGGGGCTCAGGAGAAGACAGTGTGAAAGGAAAATAGATCTTGGGAGCCCACCCAAGCTGGGAACTGCTTAAAGCAAACCTACCTCCCATTCTATTGAAAGTCTCCCCTCTGCTCACTGAGATAAATGCATACTGATTGCCTCCTTTGGAGAGGCTCATCAGAAACTCAAAATAATGCAACAGTGTGTCTCTTATCTATCTAAGACTGGAAGCCCCTTCCCCACTTCAAGTTGTCCTGCCTTCACCTGGAGCCATCCCACCTTTCCAGACTGAACTGATGTACATCTTACACATGGCGATTGATGTCTCATGTCTCCCTAAAATGTATAAAACCAAGCTGTACCCCGACCACCTTGGACACATGTCATCAGGATCTCCTGAGGCTGTGTCACAGATATGCCTCCTCAACCTTGGCAAAATAAGCTTTCTAAGTTAACTGAGACCTGTGTCAGATTTTGGGGGTTCACAACAGGAAGATTAGAAAATGCTTTGAACTTTATAGAGACTGGCTCAATGGTTGTGATCAAAATGCTGATGGTGTTATGAAGTATAGGCTGTCAACGTCTCAGATGGAAAGTGAGTAACTTATTGGGAACTGGGACAAGTATCTCCCATGTTATGCCTTAGGAAAGAGTTTGGCTGAATTCTATTCCTGTTCTAGGAATCTGTGGAGGTTGGAACTTCAGAAACATCATTTAGAGTAAAAAAAAAAAAAAAAAAAAAAAAAAGCTAAATAAAAATTTAAGAAATTAAATAAAAACTTAAAAAACTAAAAAAAAAATTTATATAGTTTACTTTGATTTTGATTTGTATTAAATTATACTTTAAGTTCTATGGTACATGCACACAATATGCAGATTTGATACATATGTATACATGTGCCATGTTGGTTTGCTGCACCCATCAACTCATCATTTACATTAAGTATTTCTCCTAATGCTATCCCTCCCCAAGTCCCCCACCCCATGACAGGCCCTGATGTGTGATGTTCCCCACACTGTGTCCAAGTGTTCTCATTGTTCAATTCCCACCTATGAGCGAGAACGTGCGGTGTTTGGTTTTCTGTCCTTGTGATAGTTTGCTGAGGATGATGGTTTCCAGCTTCATCCACATCCCTGCAAAGGACATGAACTCATCCTTTTTTGTGGCTGCATAGTATTCCATGGTGTATATGTGCCATATTTTCTTATTTTATTTTATTTTATTTTCATTATTATACTTTAAGTTCTAGGGTACATGTGCACAACGTGCAGGTTTGTTACATATGTATACTTGTGCCATGTTGGTGTGCTGCACCCATCAACTCGTCAGCACCCATCAACTCGTCATTTATATCAGGTATAACTCCCAATGCAATCCCTCCCCCCTCCCCCCTCCCCATGATAGGCCCCTGTGTGTGATGTTCCCCTTCCCGAGTCCAAGTGATCTCACTCTTCAGTTCCCACCCATGAGCGAGAACATGCGGTGTTTGGTTTTCTGTTCTTGCGATAGTTTGCTGAGAATGATGGTTTCCAGCTGCATCCATGTCCCTACAAAGGACACAAACTTATCCTTTTTATGGCTGCATAGTATTCCATGGTGTATATGATGTGCCACATTTTCTTAATCCAGTCTATCATTGATGGACATTTGGGTTGGTTCCAAGTCTTTGCTATTGTGAATAGTGCTGCAATAAACATACGTGTGCATGTGTCTTTATAGTGCTTGATTTATAGTCTAAACAGATATGTGAATTTAATTAACTATAAGAAGAGTATGCCCAGGGTTACAAATGCATATTATATTTTAGGGGAATGAAATAAAATTCATGTTTTATTATTGGGAATATATAGTTCTTATTAGAAGTATTTTGTTATAGTGAATGATTTAGAAATATTTAAATTATGTTAAAAATACACATTTTTAGATTTTTAAGACAAATATTTTAGCATTAGGCCATAAGAGTAGACTTAAAATTGAAGAAAGAATGTACCAGAGTTGCCAAATGTTTAAAGGAAAGATATATTATCTCGCTGAAGTGAAAAACTTATATCTTTTTAGGCTGGGCACAGTGGCACACACCTGTAATCCCAGCACTTTGGGAGGCCAAGATGGGTGGATCACTTGAGGTCAGGAGTTCCAGACCAACCTGACCAATATGGTGAGGCCCCATCTCTACTAAAAATACAAAAATTAACCAGGCATGGTAGCACACACTTGTAATCCCAGCTACTCAGGAGAGTAGGCACTGAGGCACAAGAATCACTTGAACCTGGGAGGCGGAGGTTGCAGTGAGCCGAGATCGCCACACTGCACTCCCCTCTGCGTGACAGAGTGAGACTCCATCTCAAAAAAGAAGGAAGGAAGGAAGGAAGGAAGGAAGGAAGGAAGGAAGGAAGGAAGGAAGGAAGGAAGGAAGGAAGGGAGGGAGGGAGGGAGGGAGGGAGGGAGGGAGGCAGGGAGGCAGGGAAGAAGGAAGGACTTATATCTTTTTAAAAGGTAGTGGAATCGAAATTTGTAAATTATGTGTAGCAAGGTATAACAAAATTTGAACTTTTGAGATATAAATTTGAGAGTTTTAAGGAGAAATAGATGATAGGATTAAAAATCAATTTTTAAAAATTTTATTCAGAGTAAATTAATATTTTAAGAAAATTTTGTTTTGACATGCGAAATTAAAACTTTTAGTTTTGTATTAGTGTATTGGCAATATTAAAATTTAATATTTAGGAAGACTGCGGTAAATATATTCTTTATAGTAAAATTTATTATATATAATTTTATTAAATAATTTTATAATTTATCTTATAATTTACATAGTGTTTAAGTCATGTTTTGACATTTTGTTTTTTTTAATGCTCAATCATTTTATTTCAGGACAAAAATCATAATACAAGATTTTCAATATAAAATTGTATTTTTTTTACAAATATATATTTATAATTTATGATATGTCTCTGATTATGTATTGTTTTATAAATAACTCAACCTCTAAACTTGGCAAAATTATTTTTAAATATGTGTTTGCTTTATGCCTCTCACAATTTTTAAAATTAAAAACATATTTTTATAGTCTATATATATCAGATGTTTACCTAAGAACCTTGATGTAAAAAATATGGGAATTTTGTCTGTAACATAGAAGATAAAGCCATTGTATTAAACTAACAATATCAAATTAGTTTTATTTATTTAAAAATTATGTAAATAAATATTTTGTTTTGAACTGGGTTTGTAGTTTACAATATTGTGCCAAATCCTCACACCTTAGTCTGTTTAGCAGAGACAATTATAAACTGACCTGACCAGTAAACCCAGGGGAAAATGTATGTTGATAATTTTGAAAATTTTAAAATTTTATTAATAATTAGTTAATTATATGTGTTGCACAACCCATATCTAGAATATATTCTTGGTTCACCACCAAATCCCCATTTTCTCCTCCCCACATTCCCTGGCAGCCACCATTCTGCTCTGTGTCTCCGGAATTTGTATATTTGAGGACCTTATGATTTCAAACTGAAAACTCAGTAAGAGCCAATACCACATTGAATAGAAAATTGCCATAAAGTAGAAGGGTGGCCTTAGACACTCTCATTACTTATAGCTTCTTGGGAAATCTTTTGAGAGGATGACATTCCTTGGAAATTTGGGGGCTGTGAAGACTGGAAGTGGAGCTCACCAAGACAAATGGAAGGAGAAGCATTTTAGTACAAGAAAGAGGTAACAAGGCTCAGAGCTGGAAAGAACACAAAAGTTCCCAGGAGGACAGTAACTGCGAGAGCGTCGCAGATGAGGAGATGGGGGGAGTGGGAGAGCACGGAAGAATATGGGAGATGACGAGGACTCAAAGGAAGAAATTGCATGGGAAACCACAAGGCTGGGAATAAATCTAAAATATGTTAAGGAAACACAACCTAGAGGGTGAATAAGCAACATGAGAAAAAAGAATACAATTGTGAACAAGGTGGTAAGAAAGTGGACACCGTGGGGATTGATTAATACACTTTACTACCCTGGAGTACTCAGGAAATAATCCACATACCTTCTTTTGAACAGTAAAATGTTTAATTCAAATATTTTGCATTTATCTTTAAGAGTTGGTGTTTGAGAATAATTAGCTCTTGCGATTCTACTATTCTCTA